GAACTCCGGATTTCTGATCTGGTTGTAAAATCAATGCTGTGCTGCTCTGAAAGTTATTTGCTGTATTTAGACAGTGCTAGCATATTACTCAGTGGTCTGTGGCATGCCAGGATTTATTTATACAAGTCCTAGTGATGTTTTAGATCTATTTTTACATTATATTGTTTTTATACCTTTTTTTGTTTTATAAGTAGCAATTTGAAGTGGAAGTTTACCTATAATTACTCTATGAGCGTTCAACAACCATAGAACACACGCACCTTGATAAATGCATGCAAAGCAGGTGCAGCTTAAACAATGCATGTATAGCAGGTGGAGCTTTAACAATGCATGTATAGCAGGTGGAGCTTTAACAATGCATGTATAGCAGGTGGAGCTTTACCAATGCATGTATAGCAGGTGGAGCTTTAACAATGCATGTATAGCAGGTGCAGCTTTAACAATGCATGTATAGCAGGTGCAGCTTTAACAATGCATGTATAGCAGGTGGAGCTTTAGCAATGCATGTATAGCAGGTGGAGCTTTAGCAATAGTAGACATGTAAGCTGTGGAACAATTCGGTTTGGTACGGATATTTCATAATCCAGGATTCGGATCCGAAATTCAATTCGGTTCAGGGTTTCAGATTCGAACGGAATCCAAATTTTCGGTAGTTTCGGATGAGTTTACAAATATTTGTTGCAAATACCACAGAAAACCAGATACAGATATTAATACTAAAGGTGAATCTCCTAGACCCGAATGGCATTTGGGATCCAAATTTCTGAATTGCATTCGGGAGCTCCTGAATGCCATTCAGGTCTGGGAGCCATATACATATAATACTGAAGCTGAGGCTCCCAGACCCGAATGGCATTCGAGAGGTCCCGAATGCAATTCAGAAATTTGGATCCCAAATGCCATTCGCGTCTAGGAGCCTCAGCTTTAGTATTATATGTATACTGTATACTGCATATGGCTCCCATGTTGCTGTAACGAAAATTCGTGTTCAGACCCATTCAGATGCATTAAATTGAAAAACAAATCTGATTGGCCAGAAAAGTCACATGTCCAATTCAGTTTAGTTTTTGAATGAAATTCAGACGGGATCCGAAATGTCAAAGTGGAAATTTGGATTCGGACACATTCGGATGCATTGGGATTCGGAAATTAGGATGTGTCCAAATTTTGGAAAATTTGCACGAATTGCACATGTCTAATGCATAGCAGATGGAGCCATAGCAAATCATGCATGGCAGGTGGAGCTTTAGCAATGCATGCATGGCAGGTGGAGCTTTAGCAATGCATGCATGGCAGGTGGAGCTTTAGTAATGAAATTCAGACGGGATCCGAAATGTCAAAGTGGAAATTTGGATTCGGACACATTCGGATGCATTGGGATTCGGAAATTAGGATGTGTCCAAATTTTGGAAAATTTGCACGAATTGCACATGTCTAATGCATAGCAGATGGAGCCATAGCAAATCATGCATGGCAGGTGGAGCTTTAGCAATGCATGCATGGCAGGTGGAGCTTTAGCAATGCATGCATGGCAGGTGGAGCTTTAGCAATGCATGCATGGCAGGTGGAGCTTTAGCAATGCATGCATAGCAGGTGGAGCCATAGCAGTGCATGCATACCAGGTGGAGCCATAGCAGTGCATGCATAGCAGGTGGAGCCATAGCAATGCATGCATAGCATAGCAGACTTCTGCGGTCTGGCCATGTTTCACGTCACTTCCCACATATGGCTGTGACATCAAACATGTCCAGAAAGGTAATCTTAGCCTTTAAACCGTGGACGCGTGCTATGGCCACGGCGCTGCGAGGGCACGTGATGGTTGTGACTTAATTATTTCTGGATTAATTAGGATTTCTTCTACGAATCCCCTGTGAAAGCTCACATCCCGCTTTACAAGGCGATACACTATTACTATGCAATTAGTATTAATTTTATGTCTGCTAGTAGTAAAAGCTGAGATGACCTTGCAGTATATTCTTTGCTTGGAATACTCGGTGGGCCGAAGTCCAAATGATTAGAACGGAGTGGATGTATTTGCTGGTTTTACAATGAATAAGGCTCTGAGTGGAGGAAATCTCTATGGGAAAAGGCGGCGTGTTTCCTGAGTCAGCACATTTCCCGCGCCAGCTCAAGCCCCGGCAAGAACATTTTTCAAGAACATATTCAATGAACGAACACAGTGACTAATCTTACTAGAATTAGTTTTTTTTTGGGTTGAAGCCTGGAAGGTGGGGTTCTGCCGCTTACTGGAAGAAGAGGAATGGTCTAGCATGCCAAGTATGCATACATGGGAGCGGCATTCCCTCGACCAAGATGGCTGTCAGTCACCGATGCCACATTGTGAGAAGTCATATGTAGAAAGGCCGCGTGCCGAATGGCTCAGGGTCTCCTCGGCAATTTTGCAAAATATTTCTGATTTTGCTACTACGACAGACTTTTTTTTTTTAATTTACATTTATTTTGAGTATTCAATTAGGCCGAAAAATTGTTCCCTTTTTATCTGTGCTGATACTATGGAGCATGAAAGCCTCAGAGACCGTGTGTTAATTTGAATTGAATGGGGCCTTGTTAAATTTATTGACATGAAATGAAAAAATCCCCACTGTGGTTTTGAACTGTCATGCTACCCAGAGGCAAGAAATTTTAATTAAAAAAAAAAAAACTAAGGGGAAAAAAAGAGAGAATAAAACAGAGCGATCCTCCCTGTCTTTCTCCATCCTCTCGTAACAGCAGCCAGAGCCGGGAGGAATCTGCATAGTATTAGCATTCATTGCTTGATTAAGCCCTGGTGGGGTGACATCTTTAGGAGTCACGTTGCACATACGGACAGCTCCAAACAGACAGGAAACCGATGGCAGGAAATATCTGCTGCTGATCGTCTGCTTACTGCCTCTTACACTTTATTTTCCTCCTCCCTCAGTGAAACCTGAGATAACTTACCAAAATTCCCTGATGATACCTGACCTAAAATAGTACAAATTGCCACAATGAGACTTAAAAGGGGACTTTTATGGCAAGCTTGTCCTTCTGACAGTGTCCAACAAGTCTGTAGTAAGGATATGGACCAGAGGTAGGCAATTTCAGCACTCAGGCTGTGGTTAAGCTACAAATCCTATCATTCCTTTGGCTCTGGGAGTCATGCCTGTGGCTGTCAGTCTTGCAATGCCTCATAGGACTTGTACTTTCCAAGCTGGTGACCCCTGACATAGACACGGCCACATATAAAGAAATGCTCTGCTGCTTTTAATCTGGAATTATAGCTAACATTACCTTTAAGGCAGGGGTGTCAAACTCAATTTAATCGAGCGCCGCATCAACATTATGGTTGCCCTCAAAGGGCCTGTAAGACTATATAAATGTATCTAATCTTTACCATAATTGCCTCTGCATTCAATTACCACTGGTTTTAGTAATAACTTAATACCTAGATCTGAAAGTAGAAGTCTAGGAAATGGCCTGGTGGGCCGGATTTGGCCCCTGGGCCTTGAGTTTGACACATGTGCTTTAAGGTATAAGTTCACTTTACCCACTGTAATCAAGGCATCTCCTTGGTTGCTTCCAATACCCCTCTGTATTGCTCTTCTCATTTGCCTCCTTCACGTCTCTGTACTGCTCCTCTTGTTAGCCTCTAGCACCCCAATGTCAATGTCTATCATCTGCCTCCAGTGCCTTTCCCCGATAGTGCTCCTTTCTTCCACTGTCCTGGCACCCCCCTGTTCTGCACCTCTATTCCTCATCCAGTACCCCACTGTGCTGCCCCTCTCCCCCACCCCCATGATCTACGCTTTACTACACCACTCTTTTGTTTGCAGAACCCCCTGTAAAGTTAATCTCCTCCACTGACGACAAGAATCCGCCAGTACTACTTATCACCTTATCACCCCTACTGTGTCTTCTTTTACCCCTCCTACATCGAAAACCCCAACTCAGTTATATCACTACTCCCCCAGTGTCCTCCCAGGGAGTAAGCAATATGCCAACCACAAGCCATTGGGACTGTGAGATTCGCTTGGTAGCCAATGGAGCAGAAAACATCTAAATCATGCAGAACATTGACTATGTTTTGCCACATTTGCCCATGTATTACCACAGCTTGGTGCCATATGTGGGAGTGAGAGACCAAGAAAGAGCTTTGTTTTGAGGAACATATTACCACGAGTCTAGCACCCCTGAAAAGGTCTGTAACCATGGCCCTAAAAACACAGATATTCTGTCCACACCCTCAATTCGGCCTGGTGCCCTAAAAGAGCCAAGAGTGCTCCCTGACCTCTTGCACAATCCAAGGATTCAAAAACTCCCAATAAGCTACCAAACAGTAAAATGGAAAAAATACCTGTTCCAGGAAGTATTTATTACCAGCTCACACCTCAGTAGTCTGGAATTTTTATTCTTGGTTTCCTACTGTTTATAAAGGTTGGCCTCCCACAGACAATATTTTGCCAGGGGGCCCCACAGACCTTATTTCGGCCCTGTTGACATCTAAACCACTATCCACTCAAATGCCACAGTGACAACTGAGACTACTCCGTCTTCTACTCCCAAACTGACACCCTAAACCACATGGGAAACTTTTATACCTGCTTATACGTTAATTTTAGCTGTTCAGGAGAGGATGGCGTGCACACTCCCCGATATACAATCAGTACAAACACAGATATGATTGTCCTAATCCACCAAAGTGCACTCTGCTGTCTGCAGACCTATTGTCCACCAATATGATGTTGGAGTCTTGCGGATCACGTGCATTAGCCGTCCCTCATCACTAACGTTCAGCATCAGCACCTACAACATTCACTGATCAGAGCTCTGACTTTAATCTCATTTTAAAGTCATGTTGTTGGGGAAACAGAACAGAGAAGAAGAGGCAATGACAAGTGCTGCTAACACGAGAATCATGCTGACAAGTCAGCCCGAGGCTGGATTCGCACTGTACTTTGGCACATCACTGTGGAGCCGCACATTAGCATTTTACAGAGTCTGCAAGAAGATCTTTCAAGTACCTGTAGACAGCACGCTTGTCAGCTTCCAGCTGCGCCTGAGGGTCAATTGGAGCACCGGGGACAGGGTTAGCTGCCGCAGAGGATGCTGGGAGATGGACTGGCTGGGCCTTGGCAGTCTGCTGAGCGGTGGCCGTCATCTGCTCGAAGACATGAAAGGATGGGTTAGTATATTGTGATCTAGCGCTCAATGTCTTATTGTATATCATAAACAAACCTTGCATGTGACAACAGACTACATATACAGCTGAGACTTTTGCTCTCATGTCTGGTGTGCAATTAAAGGGACAACCCAGCCACACATACAGTATTACGAAGTTTAAACAGAAAGGGGGACACAGCATTCCTTTCATCCAGATGCGTACACTGCTAGGTAAGTAGTTCGGACATTTCTAATGATATCATATTAACCATCGCCATCACATTGCTTATTATGCCTACTGACTTGTAAGGCAGCGGCTGTTTTTGAACATATTTTATTTTCACATTTTAGGGTTGTTAGCCCCGAGCCTAACTTCCAAACCCTGGAGATTAAGGGAATCACTTTTAGAGTCTGGGTCAACAAGATTTGGTTCACATTTTGGCTTCTCTCCCCATTCATTTATGGAAATGTAAAAGCAGCTTGAAGCAGGTTGATGCATCTTAGAAGGGGGGAACATGTAGGTCAGAAGGGGGTCAACTGCAAGTCAAATGCTCCTCTCAACCAGTTATTAAAGACTTCAAAAGTGCCTCCAACTGACATCAAATGTAAGTGGATTTGCCCAGCTACACAAGCCCATTGACCTGGGTTCTTAGTCTGTGCTCTACAATTCGATCTCTGTCTAGGGTGGCCCTACCAGGACCTCTCCAGGGCACAGAGACAAGCACATTTCAGCCACGTCAATCAGAGATTCATACAAGTGGGGTGATATTGTGACACAGTTAAGGATTAGATGGTACTACAGGGATTTTTCCTGAACTTGGGAACACTGCGGCATAAAATTCTTGAGTCAGCTCAAAGTCAGAGATGTAGTACTTTCCTTGTATCTCACAATGCAATGTGTGTAGGCCACTGAGTCAAATGCATTGGATGCTGGAACAATGTTTGGAGGCCCTTTGGGTGGCCATAAATGGCCTTATCCAACTCCCAATACATCTTAATGCCATGCTCAGATTAGGACTGCACTCTTCATGGTGGTGATAATGAGAAGGCCCTTTGCTCTCTGTTGTGAAGCAGTGGGGTCTCTCCACATGTCCAACATGCCCCCTTGTGATATAGAGACCTATAGCTCCGCAATTATTATTATTATTATACAGGATTTATAGAGCACCAACAGTTTGCTCAGCGCTTTACAATATAAGGAAGACATTACAATTACAAGACAATTCAAGACAAGATGGTAAGGAGGGCCCTGCCCGTGAGGGTTTACAATCTAAAAGGGAGGGGCCAGTGATACATGAGCAGGAAGCTGTGTGGGAATGAATTGTTTGAGAATGCAATTAGCAAAGGCTATGTTGCCTGCTGATTGGTGAGCTCCAGCTCTAACTCCCCAGGGGCATTTTGGACCTTTGCAGAGAGGCCATTGCTTCTACAGAGAGAGCAAGGGTCCTTCTCTGAAGCATGCTGGCAGGTACAGGCTTGTCTTCTCCGGCTGTGGCTGCTTTCTGATGCAAGCAAACTGTAAGCCTTTAAACACCTGCCGTTTTAGTGCAACAGGAATGTATTCAGCTGATTTAAACCCAAAGTTTAATTGAGCTTCAAGTCAAGTCATACAACGAGGATGTACAATCTTCTAGCCACATTTTACTTTTTACATCTTTGGCACAAGGGTTGATGAGTAGGTGTTAGGGCTTACTAAATGACTTTGTAGACAGGTCATTGATATGTTTCTAAATGGTAGGCTAAGACTTGGTGTGGCTTTATGCATAGAAGTATAATACACACGGCAGTAGTCACTCTGTGTATAGAGGATTTGCACTGGAACGGTAATGAGAAGAAACTGGCTAAGCCTGTACCATGGTGGCACTCAATGTCTGCGAGTACCTAATAGTAAAGATCACAGGCCTTCTATATATACTGCACAACAGAGGAATTCTCATTTACTGCACATGGCAGAGTCAAGGTCACTACGATAAGTCCTGAAAAGTCCCTAGAGATAGTATTTACATCTGAGAGGTTCATATACCACCCAGCGCCCTGCAGATTGGTTTCTCAGCCCTCTGTTCTGGATGTTGTTAGGCAATACGTGGGCGATTATTCTAATCCGAGTGCAATCTTCATAGTGTGAGTTTCCGCACACCTTAGACCGGTGTGAAGCGCTTCCCGCTCCTCGTTTGCTCGCAGTCTAATTGAAAAGGACAGAGGCAGCAGAGATAAAAGGAGCAGCTACTGAATGCAATGAAAATGTAAATCCGGAGCCAGTCGGCTCAAAGTTTCAAAACAGCCACCAGCTGAGACGTTCTCATTGCAGTGAGCTCTGGGAAGGACGCTGGCGCTCCGCATTTATGCAGCTGCTGGGGACCAATTCAGAGAGCGGCGCGGCTGCTAGCCAGAGTTTATCTCTAAATAGATTTCTCCTCTCTGAGATAAATCTTCATTTCGTATCAGCTGGATCAAAATACAGGGAAAGTGGAACATTTAAAAAGGGAAACTATAGTGTTTTCTCAGTGTGTAGATAGTTTAAGGTTACGTTGTAATGTTTACCGGAAAGTAAAATGTTACCTTTCCATGCTCGCTGTAACCTATTTTCATGCTGGTATGACATGAACGGATTTGGGGATTCTCTCTCTGATGCCTTTGTTATTACCGGGCAAACAATTGCTGTACTTTTAGGTTTATGATTTAATTTCTAGGATTCAGGAAACATTTTTTTTTTCAAGGGGCTATATTTTAGACGTTTTTGGCTTTCCTTATGGTCTACGCAATTATGAGAGAGCACCATAATTATTGTTTGTGTCCAGAATTAAACACGTTCAGTGAAAAGCCAACGCGTTTGAGGGGTTTCAAGGGGCCTGGTTCATCAGGGCCTCGAAAATTCTGGATGGAGCGTAATCTGCGTGGAATACATGTTTTCTAAAAATAAATCTTCCAAATCAGTGATTGAAGCAAGCTTAGGGAGCGTTTATACAAAACTCCAAGATGTATCCCTCAGGAAATTGGAAATCCCCGAAATGGATTAACCTTTAACTGAATGCACATACTGGACACCTTTATTCTTGCATGGTCCTCTTGGATATTATTGCCATATTCCAGTTAAGAGCCAAGCCATGACCCCTGTTCTTCTTCATAGAGCTGCCTAAGAAGAACCCCTACACCAGGGGTGGGCAAATTCCAGCCTTCCAGATGTGGTAGAGACGCCGCCCCCAGGACGAGCTGTGTCGGCCGCACGGCGCCCTTGTTGCCATGGCACCCTGTGCGGCCGCACTGCTCGCACACCCCTAAGGCCGGCTGCAACTGCAAATCCCATTAGGCATTGAAGACTCTGACAGCCATAGGCATGAATCCGAGAGGCAGATGCATGATGGGATTTAAAGTTTCACCTCTGCTGGAGGGCCAAGTCTTCCTACCCCTGCCCTACACCAAACGAGCTACCCAATTGGGTCCTTCACTTCATGCCCTCCATATATCATCTTAATAAGTTATAAGTCATTGCTGTCATTACCAAGTTCAGTATTTTTTTTTTTTTAGTCCTAGCCATAATAAAAAAAGTAAATTTGTGCAAAACCACTGCCATGTGACGAAAGATTTGGTACCCATTTACAATTCTGCAAACTACTGGAAGTGACCTCAACAGTCCAAGCACAGAGGAACACAACCAGTGGGTCAGAACCCTAAATGGTACAAAAGTCATAAATCCTGTAGCACTCCTTACCGGGAATCCCAAAAAGTAAATGGGTGCTTGAAATGACAGCGGATGGCGCCGCACACAAAACAGCTTAGAATGTAGATGTCACCAGCACGACAGAAACTCATAAGTCAGTGCAAAACCATTTATTGATAGATGTCACTGAGAATATCAAGCGCTTTCGGGGCTGCACAGGGTCCCCTTCATCAGGCTCAGAGTAGACATGTTTACATCGTGCTGATGACATCTACATCCTAAGAACCCTAAATAGGACCCTACGCTCAATTTTTGGGGTCCCCCAGATAGCAGTAATGGTCAAATGACAAAACGGGTCCCAAAAGAAGGTTCATTGACACTTCTAACGGCTACTGAAAAGATTGATCACCTCTGCTCTACAGATAGTTTTTCCACTAAATGCTGAAAATGCCTTTAAATGTGAATTCCTTTTAGGACGCCTTGTAACCTCATAGACATATTTACCTGCGGAGAACACTTAATACTAAATAGGATCAGTAACATGTCCGTGATCCCGGTGTCACAGATGGTCTTGTCTGCGTCAACACCGTGCACAGATACAGAATACAATTTGTTACAATTTGACCTTTTCCCCATAAAAATGCACAGAAACACATCTATGAATATTTATTACTAAACACAGCAAGCGATGCTATGTAAATGTGCTATGTAAATGAGCGAGCCAAGCTCAATAACGAGAAAATCAGAGTTAATTATCAACAGCTCACAAAGATTTGCAAATAGCCATATTAGTGATGAAGAGAAGCCTTATTCGTTCCCCGTGTTTGGTCACTGATGATGTGTACAGGCTGCATCGCGGTAAAGGGCCAGATAGCAAGTAGAAAAGTGTAAAGAAGGATACAATTTTGTTACAACCTCAGCGGCTGAATAACTTTACTTCCTATATCCATGAACAATCTAATAGTATATGTGTCCACAAATTGACCAAAATGTAATCTGCCCAAATTACATGCTAAATAAAAAAAATAAAGAGGTCCCACATCTTCTAGACCCGTGGTTCTCAACTGGTGGGTCGTGACCCAAAAGTGGGTCGCGACCCCATGTTCAGTGGGTCGCTGCATGCCTTCCACTGCACTAAGTGAGCGCAGCACTGTCAGTTCTGGGGCCGTGCAGCCATTCAAAAAATGCTGCCTGGCACCAAGTGTCAGCTTGAGGTGGAGTGGCTAGAGCTATGGCCGTGAGGGAGCTCCATCAATATGTGCATTGCTTACAGCTCCCTCGTGTGACTGGAGTGACGTCACATTCTGGCTCCCGACACCTCTACAGGGAGTGCAAAGGAG